CCCCAGGCGTCCCCAAGTCAGCCGCTGCTGAAACTGACCAGCGCTGACTACAGGAAGCCCGAGGCACAATTGCTCTGCCCCGGGGTTCCTGGAATCAGCCGCTGATCAGTTTCAGCAGCAGCTGACTTGGGGACCTGGGGTTCTTAAGTTGAATCTGTATGTAAGTCAGAACTGGTGGTCAGTTTCAGCAGCGGCTGAATCTGGACGCCAGTTCCGACTTACATACAGATTCAACTTAAGAACAAACCTACAGTCCCTATCTTGTACGTAACCCGGGGACTGCCTGTATAACCAAAATAAAGCAGCATCATAGCCTAAACCAGAAGTTAAACCAATTAACGTATTTTCATTGTTCAAACCAAGTGAAATGCAAGCAATAAAACAATGTCTGACAAGTGGATTAGATATTTAAAACATTAACATATTAACAGATGAGGGATTTTTCTATACTAATTCTAATCAGTGACCTTTTAAAACATGTTTTTCCTACCTCCATCAACACATCATGATAAAGAGGACAAAAACCCTTTTGACAACAAAACTAAAGCTAATTGAGAGTAATTCAGATTATAAGGATGTGAAGCCTTTTTTAAGGAAACATTAAAATCACCTTTTTCAAAACACAGACCTTGTTATAATGTAGAAGCCAAACCTTAAAACGGAGCATACCTAAGGTTTTCTCTTTGTTTTTTTCAGTCTCTGGATCCTGTTGGCCATCAGGTGGCTCAGTACGGGCTTCTTCTCTCCCAGGAGTCTCCTCACGTGATTCTTGAGTACAGTACGATGAACCCACTGGCTTTCTATTTTTTGTGATATAATCTTCGTCTTCCAGTGCACCCGTACTTTCCATGTCATTGCAATTGGACTGCATATGTTGCAAAGTTGTGTCAGGTTCAATGCACTTGCTGTTCACCAACTGATTGTGGGTATTCATTCCAATCTCACAAATTCCAGCATCACCTGTTGTACTAATCATAAACTAGAGAAAGGGAAGAAGTAATCAGATTCATTACCAAGAAAAAATAATTCCCAGTAAGAACATCTATTCTATTTTTAGTTTATATAACAAAAATCTAAAAAGCTACCATATCATCAAGCTGAACTGCAAACTATAGTCAATACTTTTTTTTGAAGTCTAATATTGCATGTACATTTCATTGATAACAGTATGTAAAGATGACCAATTTCCCCACAAATATTTAAGGTGTAATGGAAGTGCTATACTTGACAATAATTCTCTCATAAGAAAGTAATCAGACAATTTACATATACATGATGCTAGCCTTTTGTTTTAAACCCATGGAACAGGTACAGCAGTTTCTACAACATGATCTCACTTGAAACATCACTTTGTTAAGGATGAATCCAGGTAAGAATTATAGTCAATGGCTTGTTATTCCAGGAAGCATGATATTGAAAGAGTTACACACTAAAACTAGATTTCCAACCTAACTACCATGTTTTAGAATTTTGACTTGAGTATTAAAATAAGGACACTGTTCCACTGATAAACGTATATGAAATCAAATGAAAAATCCTGTCAGGAAGCAGGAGTATTAAGAATTTGAACTGTTTAAATGCCCTGTGGAACATCCATGGTAGACCATTAGTAGTTAGTAAGACACACTATTAAGATGATGTAATTTAAAATAAACTGATATTAAACCTCAGACCACACAAAATAGAATTAAAAATACTGGGAAGGAACAGGAGTATGTGCAATTTTACATTCAAAGTCACATTTCACCTTTCTGAAAATATTACAGTAGCAAACAAAAAAAAAACCCACTGATATCAGTTAGCTCTGGGTTTAGAATATTAGGATATATTATCTGTAATTCTGGGGGTAGATAATATGAAGTTCAGAAGAATGTTAGCCCTAACTGAAAGGGAAGCTGTAGTTCTATCTGATGATTGGCCTATGCTTAAATCCACAGTCATACGACATAGTTTTCTTGGTGTCATACTAAAACCCACTGTGGAACCTCTGAATTTGAACAGATGATGGCCACATCTTTAACAATTGTAAGTCCAAATGCAATTACCAGTGAATATTCTCCTCCATGAAAAAAAAGACATAATCAGTCATTATAATAATTTCTGGATAAGACAATATCATAGCCTAAATATTCTAACTTGTATGCTCTAACCAAGAGCCTGGCCAATATCTTGGTAAATCAACAGCAAAGACAAAAATCTCCTGCTTTTTATGATCATGCCATTAGAACATGTACACCATGCTGGCTATTCAAAGGAATCGTGATTGTAAAAATAAATGCTTTCCCAAAATCCTTTAAACGAGTTTGTGATGAAAAGCAAGTTTGACAATAAAGAAATCTATTCTTCATAGCACAGGTACATCATGGGTAACAGCAATAGAAGTTTCCCCAAACCATGTCTCAGTCCTAACTCAACTAGCAATTTTAGGGGTGAAAAATAAGCCATGAGGTGCAACGGATATGGACTAACCAGCATAACATTTGCAAAGGCAAATATCTTTTCAAGTTATTATAGGACTTGTCTACATGCAGGGTTGCACTGGCATAAACCTAAAGTAGGATTTAAAGGTTTGGAAGCTGAAAAATGTGACTGGGTCCCCACCCCCGTTTTTTTTTTTTAAAGTCATGGGATTTCAGAAATATCATTATAACTTTTTTGCATACCCCTGAGGATCAACTATGGCTTGGATCTTCCCCAAAATACATCACCACTTATTCAGTCTTAATATCAGCTTGTGCCTGTCACCCACCATCTTTTTCAGCAAGAAGTATTTTAAAACTGTTCATGATAAGATTCACATCAGTGGACGGACATCGTGGGCTACTGAACAAGGCCGCATGAGTGGCCCTCCATCTCGGTGGACCACAATATTGCTGTAATTAAGATGTTCTCCCGCAATAGGGTAGTTTTGCTAACTGTGCTTATGTACCTAGAACTTACAGGGCATGCAGATTGAATCATAGTGGCACTTTCACTAGATGCAGGAGGAGCGCACGGATCTGAGTCAATGTAGTGTGCAATCAGCATGCACTTCACGTGCCCTTGCTTTATATGCGTGTCACTTTAGTAAAATCGGTACGAAAAATACCACGGGGATTGAAACCAGCAGAATCTGGCAATCCTGCACATGGTAAAGTTAAAAAAAAAAAAAAAAAAAAGTCTTGTAGGTCACACACACAACTTTGATGGGCTGCAGGTTGCCCACCGCTGGTTTATAGCCTGTCTCTAAGACAAGACAAAAAAAAAGACATACATATGCGCAACAGGACTGGGATTCTATTGCAAGCCAGATGTCTGAGAAAGGTAATTCAAGGTGAAATGTTGTGACCACTGACCTGACCAGTACCCATATCTTAGAACTCTTAAGTCCTTAGCTCAGCAACTCCTTCTCTGTGTACACACACACACACACACACACTAGGGATGTTAAATATCGATTAATTGAATAGTTGAGTAACCTCATGAACTCTTATCAGTTAGCCGACTATTCTATAGCCCCTGGGGGGGTGAGGCCAACAGCCAATGGGCCTCACTCCCAAGGAGCCCCCTGCCACTCCGTGCTGCTGCCTCTATCAGGGCTGCTTCCCCCTCCCCCATGCTGCTTCCTCTTTATCAGAGGCAGCAGCACAGGATGCTAGGCAGGAGCTTGTCTGCGAAGGAAGCCAGTTTAAAAAGCAGCTTGAGGACCGGCTGCCTGTCACCTGATAAAGAGAAAGCAGCTCAGGCTGGCAGCAGCCCTTGTCTGGGGTGGGGGACCTGAGCTCCCGGACCTGGTGAGAGTCAGAACAGAGCTGGGCTGTCTGCCTGGCTAGCTGGCTCCTAATACACTTTAAATGCAGAGCCACACCAAGGGTAGGTCCTGGACTCAGCTGGGCTGCTGGCCAAGCTGCTAAAAAATTTACTGGCAGGGGAGGGTGGAAATGCGTGTAGTGTATGGCATTCACCTATAAACTTTTGCTCACTGGTTAATCGACTACCCTATTACATCCCGTGTGTGTTAGGTATGTATTAGTGTAGTCGATTAACCGACAAGATTATAGGTTAATGCTACAGACTACACGCATTTCCCCCTACAGTAATTTTTTAGAAGGCTGGCTTGGCTAGCAGCCCAGCACAGTCCTGTCTTGTGATGGGTCCAGGACCTACCCCTGCTCTGGCTCTGCACTTAAAGTGTATTAGAAGCTGGCCAGGCAGGCAGCCTGGCTCAATCCTGTCTCATGCCAGGCCTGGGAGCTCAGACCTCCCCAAGGTGAGCAATATAATTCAAATAGTCTTTCAAAGGTGTGGCTGAACTAGTAAGCTACACTTGTCTTTTGACTTGTGTATCAGCATAAATGTGTCCAGAAATGATTCACAAAGGTAACCACAATTTAACAACTTTAGCTTACACTTGCCATTTTCCTTTTTTATCCAGGGAATGAATTTCTTCAAAATATTCCCAGATAGAGTCTTTCATACCCATAAGCCATGGCAGTTTTTCTGTGACAACAGTGTGAGGGAATACAGGCAGCTGTGTATGCGCACTGAATAATGTCTTTCCTTTTTCTTTCCAGTCCACTTTGCTGTTCCTTTCTATGCTGCCTCTGTCCATTCCTATATATAGTCTCTCTATCTTTAAGATAATGTCTTAACTCCTTTGCCAAGATCCATAGCCACAAGCACACAACAAAAACAATGTTATTCAAATTGTGTTTTTCTTTATTCGTGCTACTTTTTAGTCTGCTGGAAAACAGAAATTGAAAGCCCAGAACTTTCAAGAAGAAAGAGCTAGTAGAGTTAGGCTAGACGAACTAGATCCATTAATTCACTTTTTATGAGACTGTAAGTATAGGTGTAGCATCTTTATGATGAGATTTAATTGTAACTCATTTTTACAAGAGAAATTTAGAGTTTTATTGATTATTAAAAATGTTTTATTTAAATTGTGTATTTTTTTATATTTATCCACCCTGGTTCAGTGGTATGAAACTCAGCTGAAATCCATCTAATTTTTATTCACTCTCTTAAAAGACACTTAACAGTGACTTGGAAAAAAATGGAGAGACTGTGATAACTTTCTTTTATGTTGCATTAAAAAAAGACCTTAAAGGGGTCTCTCTCTCTCTCTCCCTCCCCCCTCCCTGTTGTTCTCAAGGTTTTACATTACAAATATCAACAACATCAAGTGCAAACAGAAGTGTTCTTTGGAGGACCCAGACTGCTTCAGACCTAAAACATTCTACTTTGCCTTTAATTCAGTTAAACCAATTTTCTGTTTAACTCAAATGCCTGTGACAGGTGTTAAAAAAGCTGAAATAGTTTTAAACTGTGACTCATTTCCCCTCAGTCAAGTTTCACTTCTTCAGCACCATAATCCTTCTCTGATCATCCACAGAATCTCTCGCAAAGACAGGGTAGACCGAGTTTCATGACAGCCTATGAAAAAACCTATGAAAAAACCATTCAAGGCCCCTTTAACCTATGAAAAAACCATTCAAGGCCCCCCCCCCTTTTTTAAATACACACACAAAAAAGTCATATCAAGCTTTTTCCCATTTACTTGTCATTTTTGGAATTTTGCTTTCTAAACACGTTACTCTACCTTGGAAACTTACATTTTCTAACACTAGTAACATGGCATAACAGGCACCAGAAAACCTATACGAGTGTATGTGCGAATATACCTAGCTCAACCATTGTATTAAAACTATACAAACTGCATCAACGTCACATTTTAAGACAGCACTCAATCTTCAAAGTACTGTCCTTAAACAAGAGTGTTTTTACATGTCCATACAAAAGAAGCATTACACTTTGCTTGCAAGAAGCTGAACCAAGGACTAGCATGAATTAACTGAGCTGCAGTATCACTCCTAGTAAGATTTTATTACTGAGTTCCTTTTGGCAGGGTTTTGAAGATACAGAAAATTAAGCTAATAGAATTTGCTTTGATTCATATTACATAAAAGCCTACTTTGCCAGGACAAACAGGCTCAAGCAACACGACCTCTATTGAAGCACTTCAATGGGACAACTCACACAAGCAAAAGTGACGGGGTTAGGAACACTATACAGGTCGATCCTACATTAAGACACAATTAAAACAAATGGTACAAAAACGAGAATCGAGTACAGGCCAATCTAACATCCACAAGCCCACGACAACTACATACAGGTGCGCGCTTGTTGCGTGTGCGCACCACTCCAGCAACTGGTCTTTGAAGTGGAACCCTCCGGCTGAACCGACCCCTCAAATGACAAACGCTGGCTGGCTCCGATTAAAGCCGGCCCAGCTGTTCCCCAGTCCAATGCGGGGCTCGGGGGGCTCCCCATCCTGCAGGGGAGGGACCAGCCTCAGCCCACAGGCTCCTGCCCGGTTCGCGGGGCGCGGGCTCCGGGAGGGCAGTACCGCATGCGGAGCGCGCACTGGGCCGCGCCCCAGACCCCCCGGGAGCTGCTGCGGAGCCCGGTGCAGCCGATCGCCCGCCCGGCCACCATCACCCGCGCCCGATACTCCCGTCCCTCCCCAGGCTGAGCGCCGAGCCGGCGCCGCTACGCCTGCAGCAGGCCGGGATCCCTCGGGGCCCTTACTCGTTGCTGCGCCACGGGCCCCGCTCGGACGGGCCGGGCTCGCGCTGGGGACGGTTGCCGCCTCCCCTCCCAGGAGCAGAGTCCATCGCGAGACCGGGGGCGGGGGAAGCTGAGGCGCTGCCTCGCATCACCCCGCTTTCACGGCGCGTGGGGCCGGGCGCGCGGGCTGGTGGAGAGAGCCCGACCCCGCGCGCGAGGGGCCGTTACCTCAGGGCTGCCCCGCGCTGCCACCGCCGCCTCGCGCTGCGCGAGGCTGTGACGCTGACTTCGCCCGGACGCTACAGCACTGCTGCTGCTGCCTCCTCCGCGCGCTGCCTCGGCTCCGCGCGGCGCCATGATGTGACGGCAGCATCCAAATTCCAAACAAGCAGCCTGCTGTCGCCTTCCGAACCCAGAGACACCGGAAGCGCTCGCGCCGGCCCCGCCCTCAGCCAATCATCGCGCGGATCCCCGAACCACGTGACATGCACGGCTGTGCGGAGGGCGCAGACCGCGGGGCCCATCCGGGGCGCTCGCTTCGGGCCACGCACCAGCAGAGCATGCTGGGAACTGCCGTTGTTCTACCACTCGGGGCTGCTGTCGCGTGCGGCGCGGGCCTGGCAGGGCGGGTCGAGGGCCGAGGTGGCGGCTCCGCGGGGCGTGAAGGTTCCGCCCCGTGTCCTGCTGCAGGCGCGCGAACCTGCGCTAGGGAGTGGACGCGGGTCGGTCACCTGCTGCGGTGCTGGGAAATCGTGACGCCTGCTGCGATTTTGACTCTAGCCCGGATCCAACACTCGCAGCACTGGGAGCCACTCCCCTAGTGCCTGTGTAAACTCTCTTAGGCGTCTCAACACTTCCCGAGTGCGTGCCTCGTGCAGCAATCGGACCGGTGCACCCCTGTGATTCACCTTAAAGACTGCTTACAAAAGCAGACATAAAAAAATACAGAAGTGTCCCAGCCCACTGTAACTGAAAAAATGTTCTGTATACTTACCTAATCCTGGTTGGGAACCATTGTTCCAAAATGATAGGGGTGAACTCACTTCTTACAGTGTAATTTATAAAAGTGATGAGGAGTCCTGTGCCACCTTATAAAGTAACATGTATTGCCCTTCGTCAGATGTATGTAGTGGAAGTTCCAGAGGCAGGTATAAATGTACTGAATTGACCTCATTATAAGGCTAGAGATAATGAGGTCAATTCAGTACATTTATACCTGCCTCTGGAACTTCCACTACATACATCTGACGAAGTGGGTCTTTGCCCACAAAAACTTATGTGCCAATAAATCTGTTACTTTATAAGGTGCCACAGGACTCCTTGTTGCTTTTGCAGATTCCGACTAACACGGCTACCCCTGTGATAAAGTGTAATTTATGTCATTCGGGCCAATGGGCTTATTTATATACCTGAGCAACACCAGTAGTATGCAAGATGCACTATAGACATAACCCAAGTCTGGAAATTTACATCATTTAAAACCAGTTGTACAGTTTAGCTTGTCCTTATGGCAGCTTTACATTTGGGTTTACAGCAAAGCAAAGTGCCCACTTACAATTTCAGCACTTTAATTCTGTGCAACATCACACCTTAAGACAAACAGCTTCACACAAAGACAAATGTGGGGCTTCAGCTAAGAATGAATGTGCAAGTTAACTTCCAGACATTACTACTTTACTTGTTTAGGTGAACTGTAGCAAATAAAGGAAGAAACAATGCTTGCTCAGGTGACTGGTATTTCTGGTTCTAATTGAGTACATTGGCCTGATAGATGCAGAAGTTTCAAAATAGAAAAGACTTAACTAAAAACCTCTCAAGCTCCAGGTCTATATAAATATGTTATTATTAGTGGAAAATTATTTCTCATTTACCCCCCTTTTTGCGTGTGTGTCTCGTTTAAGTATTTTATTTGCTCTTGCTGTAGTGCAGGGGTGGGGAACCTCAAGCCTGGAGAGTATTTCTCCTGCTCAGTTGTGTGCCACGTCAGTGAGGTTTTTTGTGTATGGCCTTCAACTGATTTTTCTGTGGGTCAGAGTAGGAATGTGAATGACTAGTCAACTATCCGATAAGCAAATACTTATCAGATAGTTGACATGCTAGTCAACTATCATTCATCCCCCTTGCTGCCTTTATCAGAAAGAGACAGCAATGGGGGTGGGGAGAGCAGAGGGAGTGCTTCAAAGCGACAGCACCACATGGAGCTCAGGGTCAGCTGGGGACTCCCCCACTGATTCCGGACTCCATGTGGCACTGCCACTTTGAAATATTGTGTGGAGCTTGACATCTGTATGACATGTATCACAATGATGAGGCTATGCAAGGGAATTTTCTGTGAATGACAGTTTAGTGTACAGGCAGTCCCCGGGTTACGTACAAGATAGGGACTGTAGGTTTGTTCTTAAGTTGAATCTGTATGTAAGTCGGAACTGGCGTCAGCTGCTGCTGAAACTGATCAGTTTCAACCGCGGCTGAATCTGGAGGCCAGTTCTGACTTACATACAGATTCAACTTAAGGACAAACCTACAGTCCCTATCTTGTACGTAACCCGGGGACTGCCTGTATTTGTTTAAAGCTGCTAAATTGCATTAAAAAAAGACAGCCAAAAACACTATGAAAAGGAAGAGGAAATGCTGGACTAGCTATAAAGATGCTATCATCTTCCAGGAAGGTAGTTCATGGGGTCATGAATAAGAAAGGGGGAGGGCCAGCAAGAAATTATTTTGATACAAAAAATACTATAAGAGAACCAGTTTAAGGAATTCTCATTCAATATTGTACTAGAATGTCCTCATTAATTAGTCTAGCTAACCAATTTCTCACCTGCTTTATTAGCACAAAAACAACACATTTAATTTCCATATCTATCCTGATATGCTTGTGTAAGTAAGTTCTTCAACCCTAAAACATCTGCAATAAGCATATAAGGAAGTAGGACTACCACACAACTAAGAATAGTCCATAACCAAAGAGAAAAAACCCTGAACTCACAATTTATAACAGGAGATTATACAGACATCATCAATTTTCTCCCCTTTGACAATCTATGAACAAGTGAAAATAAAGAAAATGCAATGGTACAATAGCCCTTTCCTATTATTACAGGAATAATGCCAGGAGTTAAAGAAAAACTGAAGTGAATATTTATTTTTGCAGCAACAGGAAGAAAATGAGTTTTCAGAACAGTTTCAGAAACAGCAATCAGCATTTCAATAGTTTGGTAAAAATTCAACAATGAATGTTGTCGGCCTCTATCGTTCAACTACATGATGAAACTAGTCATCTTGCAGTGAAGTAAGTTACAAATGAAGGAAATAACTCACCATCTGCAGAAAAGGACCTGAGGATCACAGCGGATGAGAAGTTGAATGAGGCAACAGCGTGCCCTTGTAGCCAAGAAGGCTAATGGCACATTGGGGTACATTAGTAGGAGCACTGCCAGCTGATCTAGGGAAGTGATTATTCCCGTTTATTCGGCACTGCTGTGGCAGCACCCCGGGGCGAGAAAAGCCCCGTTCGTAAGTGCGGATCCGACATAAGTCGGATCCGCGTAAGTCGGGGACTGCCTGTATATGACATCCTAAAAGGCTGCTTTCTTCTCAGTGAGACAACCCTTTTTCTCTACTGCTCTGTTCCTTGATGATTCAACTCTACTTACAAGAGGGCTGGATGAAGGATTACTGGGAAAGATGATACATATTGGGTGAGGGAGGCAAACATGCATGTTTTGAAACAGTCATCAATTTTATCGCATCTGGTAGCTGATCTGGAAGGGATTACAAACTTTTTTTTTAAACTGACAAATAACTCCATAGGCCTTAAAAATACAAGCATTGCTGTTTGGAAGGCAAATATGCTTTCACAATTCATACTACAAAATCATATTATATTACTAATTAAAGGATGTAACCTCTAATACAAAGTGACTGGTTATCTTTGAAGAAGTAATGTATATGGTGTAGAAACTACTTAGAAGCACTGGATAAAAATCTAAGGGATCTGAACATATTACAAGCCATCCACAGCAGAGAAGAGAAAAAAATATGATCAGATCTGAGACAATGAAGGAACAGAGACTTCTTCTCTGGTGTGATGGCAGCAGAGATAAAGCGCAAAACAAGTTCTCACTTGTGGCTAGGTAAGAAGGCTTATGGAAGGCAGAAAGGTTTCAAAAGATCCTGGCCCTATACTGAAGAAGAGAAAACAGGCAACAGTTTGCCTCCTCCAAGAATAGAACACAGTCTGTATGCTAATTTCTACTGATGTTTATATTACTACTATGCCCCTCTATTAAAATCTCGGTGCTTACAGTAATATATTGAACAGCACTCATTATGCGTGGAATAGGGAAGTATCCTTATTTAACATGAGGAGACTCAGATACAGAGAGGGTAAGTAACTTCTAACAGAGCTAGGAAGAGAAAGCCCATATCCAACATCCATTTAGGTGCTTTGGCCACCAGATTTTCCCTCCCCAGATATTTTACACTTGTAATGATAATCTACACTGACAGTAGGTCACTATGCTTTGAACTGCTTTTAGTAACATTAACGCATGGATAACAGGAAAGGGAATGACTAATTTAAAGGCTTTTAAAGAGTGTTCTAGATCTTCATAAAAATCATGTTTGTGACTTAATATCAATTTTCTTTCAACAAAGGAGTCTAATTCTTTTAATAGTGTACATTGAAAAAATAGGCCTTTTCTGCAGCTGGTTCTGAATTTTGATGCTCTACATGGGCTCATGTTGCTGGCTCTTCCTGTTTGGAACAGTAAGTCCTTACATTTTCCACTGCCACTTCAAGTGTGCGACCAAACGATGGGGAGCTCTCATTTTGTGGTGTGCTAGGGCTTATATTCCATTAACCTGGCTCTGGCCCTGTGCAACAATTAAGAATTTATCTTGCATTTTCTCCCCCTTCCAGAATAAAAATGAGCAGGTTCTTTGTGTTGTGAAGGGAAGGAATAATCAACTCTAAGCTACAGAGTGGTGGGGGAAGGAGGGTAGGAATGGAAGCCCTCTCCCCTACAGTTGGTGCAGGCTAGCCTGCCTTTTTAAAATTAAAGTAAAAGCTCAACCATAAGATCAACTCTGTTGTGTTAGGTGCCAAAAACAGATTAGTACTTACCAGTGCAGTAGGAATCTGATGAGGCCATTCCAGAAACAGAATTTTTCCTCAGACAAGAACAGATTTAAAAATATATTTTCAACCATAATAAAAATTTTTACACTTCTCCTGGCACTCTACTTTTTGCTAATGACAGTGGTAAGGACCAGCATAATTACTATATGAAAAAATATTTATTGGTAACAATTCAACTTATGCAACAGATTAGTGCTTGTGAGGAAAGTTGAGGCAGGCATAAAAAGAACAGGTACAGTCGGTTTTTACAGTCAATCAGAGGCTATTTGTCATGCCTCATTTCATAGTTCTCTGAAATGTACAC